TGTTAATTTGGTCTAATTTGGTCTTTTTTATTACAGCTATTTGCTTATCTCCAGAACGATCACGCTTTAATCATTTGCAAAGTTCAAAATTTGTCCAACTTTTTAGTACTCTGGGAGACAAAAACAAATTATGCTTTACTTCCCCAGTCTGACACGTATTCACACTTAATAGGGCCTGTAAGTAATCACATCTACTTGAAAAGTCCATTCCTGGAGTTTTGACACAAACTGTACGCCCCTTTTTGTCACTTCATAGTTTTATTCTCTACCACTGTCATGGTCTGGACCTCTATTGATGTTGCTGATGCCACAGATGACTTCAGCGATGATGGATTGAGTAGCAGGAACAGGAGATCAAGTACCTCTAGTAGTTATGCCCACTTATGTTGCGTGGACACATGAGGGGTAACTCAACACCGGCATATATCAGGGCACAGATAAATCCATTCATCGTATCCGTCTGCAGTATAATCTCTCCCAAATGGCTAGAGGCTTCTGCATCCATTAAGCCAATTCAAAAATTTTACCTTTGAGCCCTTTTCCCAAAAAAAGAACCATTAAATCTCACTGCATAACCGTGCCGCCAGAGAAAATTTCATGCTTCCGATATATTCACTCTTTGCCCTAAAACCGACATATCACAGATGGCTCTTTCTCTTTCCTGCAATTTACTCTCCATTCTCGAATCCACCGCTTTTGTATGTAATTGAGTGCTCTCATTTTAAGCTGGAAAAGCAATAAGTTAGTCAAATTAGGGTTTGTTTAGGGCCGTATTTTGAGCAATAAGAAGAAAATCATAAGTAAATGGACCACGGTAACTGTATAAAATGGTCGTGTTTTTGACGCCTTTATTATTAAAGTTTTAAAGGAAAATTCGTTTAATTAACTAAAAGATAGACAAGTATATATCTTTAAAACCATGAAAATCACTACGTTTGCTTATAGCACACGGATGATTGCAACTAGTTATCTACAAACTGGCGAAGTGTATGCGTCACATATATGTGACGCAGCAGGAACATTCGGTTCTGTGGCAAATTTAATGACTTAATATATGGAATAAACATGCCTTATTTTCTAATTCTTTTTCTGACTCTCCTTCCACCCCTATTAAATGTTTAAGATGTAGCATGTGAATTGCCTCTTTCAATGGTCACATGTTGTGTGACACGAGTTCCTTGGCCACGTCCACATGGAATATATAATTGACTTTTGTCCACTTAAGATGCACCTTTTATCATTTAATTTATTAGGAATTGTTTTGTCTAAAAATGGCTTTCCTGTAGATTTTTTAAGCAACTTTGGAGAAGCAGATTAAGAAGGGTTAGAGGAGGTATTCTTCTTGTCACCCAGAAGACTCCTAATACTGCTTAATAAGGAAAAATGAGGTAAACAAGTGAGACAACTTAGGGAGAGCTTAATTTAGACAGAGAGGAGAGGACGATCACACACCGCTTTCCCCACACGGGTAAATGTAGGCGCAGGGAAGAGAGAGAAAGGGTGCGAGAACATATTTTCAATTAATCCTGCAAGTCCGTAGATTTTGCTCTTTTCCTAACAACAAAATAGGCATTTCTGTTTCTCCTCGGCATCTAATTTTCATTCCGCCTTGCTTTTACAAAATTTACATGATTAGAGGGCAGGAAGGAGAAGAGGCAAGCAGGCAGGCATGTAGGCGAACGTTGTTATGGCTTTGATGTGAACTGCACAAATTAAAGAAATATTTTAGCAAGGAAAGGGGGGATTATTTGCCATTTCCTAGGAAATAAATAATAAATTAACTTGTCTTGCACTCGCTTTCTCCCGCCGACCCTTTTCGTTCCGCCTTTTTCTACTTGAAATGGAACCAGTGCTATTAAATCTAATTGACGCGTTAAAGTTAGCAGTTTATTTTGAGGAGCGGAACTGATCCGACAAGAAAAAGGCAATGTTTAAGTTCTCCGCCTTTTTTACCAACATTATCAGTCATTTGTTATGTAATTATACCGAAATAAAAATAAAAACAGCCCTTTAAATCTTTTCAATGTTTTAAGCCTCGTGATTGGTTTGCTCACCTCTGTATGATTCAACAGTGTGAGTTGGCACTTTCGGTCTTCAAAAATCCTAACGCCTCCTTTATTGAGGCATATAACTGCAAGCCTGGATGGCATATCATTTGTTGACAGCCTGAAAAAGATTGGTCCTTCCACATTACATGTTGACACTTAAGACAGATCTATTGTCAGTTCCTTCTTTGGGTTTTTTAAACACAGGCTTGCTCAAAGGTGATTGGATGGAATCGACTAGAATCCTCCTACCAGAGATACCACCTTCATGGCCGAGGGCAGAAGCTCATTTGTGCGGTCAAGCACGGAAGCGATCACGTAAAATGGAGTGGGGAAGCAACTTATAAAATGTCTGAGAAAAAACATCGCACTGGCATGAAGACGATGCTTGTCAGCACCGCAGCAGAATCAGTTAATTTTACGGCTGCTGAATGATGCAACGTTACAGGTCATAAAATTCACTACTAGGGATAGTTATTTCCACCTCTCTCTGGTACAGAGCCCTTGCTTTCCTCCTCCTACAGAAATAGTGATACCTCAAAAAAATCGGCCGCTTTTAGGTCTCGAGTTATTTAAAAGAAGTATCACGGTCAAAACTGACAACTCTGCGATTGCTCTCCTCGGAGTAATGTTTGCGATCTATTTAGTGGAAATTGACGTGCAAATATACCAGCACCGGTGAAGGTGGCTTGAAACACCCGCGAGCTATGTAGTTGAGAGGAGAGATTTGGATCGGTTACTGAATAGTTTGAACAAGGAATCTGGTTTAAATAAATTTATTTACTCGTCAAGGTGGAAAAATCAAGGTAATTGAAGTAAAAGAAGTTGTATTGTTACCCATTAACCCTCTTCTTCGTATTCATTTATCCCTCGAGAATCCATATCGCATCCATCCACCTATGACTTGACTTAGTGAGTGAAAACGTCCGTTCGTAAAATAGGGCCTCGCTTTTCGTGGGAGACCTGAGCTGAGGCAGGGGTAGCAAAATAACGCGGATGAGTAGAGAGTTGGCACAACTGCAGGAGTGGAAAATAGGGATATCATCTTAATAGGGAACAAATACTACCCACACTACTTCTCCATCGCCGAATTCTTCATGTCTACACTAGATTGCCAAACTCTCATCAAAATCAAGGCTTTACTTTGATTAATTTGAAAGCTGATTTCCTCTGAGTCTCGTAATTAGCCCGTAAATTAGGTTATCTGTCAAACAATGGATTCTTCTACCCCTTCCTTTTCCAGATTTTTGGATGTTAATTCGAGGTGAATTATCAAGTCCTAGAACAAGCTACGAATTCCAAGGGGAAACATTTTCCCCTCTTCAGAAATGACTGTGAGAGGGAACTTGATAGATGGCAAATTGGATTTAGACCCATGTCACCAGGTTGTTGAGTTGCCATTTAGGTAATTTTCACTTAAAGTAGAGTCTTTGTGGTTTTTTTTCCTTGAATCTCTAATGTCTCAGGGGAAAGTGTTGATTTGATTGGCTAGACTAAATCATTAATTATTCATACAAATTTTCTTCCTATGATTAAATCCAAAAAGTGCAAATAATCATTGAAAAGCAGAAAAACAAAATATAACAAAAATGAATTTTGTGTATGCAGGGGTATTTTGACTTTGTTTTATACTACTTATTAGGAGTTAAGTAATTGCCCTGAGTTATTGGTAGGGATATTTTATTAAAAAACCAACCCTACTGTCATGACATTCTCGACTGAAAAGTGTTAAATGTCCTTGTAATGTCTTTGTAGAGACTCCGTATCATCGAATAGCGAATGCACGCGGGGAGATGACCTAACGCTGACGCTTGAACTATCACTATGCCTGCTTATAGCATTGAACAAATAGAACTTCACTGCACAAATAAAGCCACATCTTTGTTACCCAGGGAACATCACAGAGGAGAGCTGAGCATACATTTGCCTATGGCAGCTGCACACACACACACGCGGACACACATCTTTCCTTCACAATGTCGAATGTGAACGGAAGCCTTTTCCTCTTTGCCCTACAAGCACCTCCACTACATGGTGATGAGCTGCAGGAACAGCCTCTTTTTGCAGAGACATTAAGACAGATGACTTGTTCTTCCAAATCCCTTTATTCATGCAGAAACACGATTCTATACATATACATAAGGATCATTCCATGGAACTAATGCTACGTCAGTGCCGGTAAAATCACGTCCAGTTTTTATTTACTATTCATCACTAAAGTTACCTCTTTCCTTTTCCCCAATAGATCAGTTTCATGAGCCTACCGGAGACACCAGCAGGTCACGACGCGGAGGTGCGTGAAGCTCAAGGTCACTGTGTGAGCGGGGCAGAACCCCTCCTGATCAACCAATCCGACTTTATTGAAGGCCCGCCTCTGATGAATCAATCAAAGGGTCTGAAACCGTCTTTTTGCAAAGCCAATGGTCAATGGCACATTCTAAAAGACAACATATGCGAGTGTCTGCCAGGTTTTGAGGCCTCAGTGGAGGAGAATTCGTGCACCAGTAAGCTGACTTTCTTTCCGTGATCTTTTCCAACCAGGTAAAATTTGGTCCAAGACCAAAAAGCTGAGTTTGAGGATCATATGAAATAAATATACAGTTTTTATCAATTTTTCCCATTTTTAAGTATTTTTGACGATTCGAGCTCTACTACTTGTGAGTAGTATGTAACATTATTAAAGATACTAACGAATTCGCTCTAAATTTGCCAGAAATTAAGTAGTGCTGTTTAATTAAATTCGACTACTCTTGCATCCCATAAAATTAAATAAAATATAAAGAGAAATATAACAAATTTTGGCGCTTACATTTCCGTCTAATTAAATCACAACAAATCCTATTCTAGAAATCATTTCTTGCCAGAATTGTTTTATTTTTTACTTTAAAAATCTACCAGGCTTTTAGTATTTACGATTCACTTCACAGGCGTGATTTGGTGTTATTTGACTTATTTACTGAGAGATTGGAATACTTTTATCGTACTAAGTAGTATGTGCATGAAGTCGGAGCATAGTTTGATACCTCTGATAAAGTACGAAATTTTACCTTCCCAATCAGCTCATTAAATGCGTTTTGCCATAAATTAGCGGCACCGAACAGAAGAAACAAGTGCATCAAGGTATCAACAGTTCCTTAATGAGCTACCAAAAGACGGAGTTAGTGTTTCCATACGCTCTACAGCCTTGGGCGGTGGGTAGGCGGGTGGGAAGGCAGTCAAGCGGGCAAACATTAAGCCGTGTGCCCAGAATAATGTAAGGCTAGCTCCTACCGCACTTGGTATTTCGAGTACCACACACGAAGATTCGGCTTGTTTATTTTTAGGCCCCCTATTTGGAGGGGTCACAAATCACCATAAGGACGTGTACGAAGAGCTGCTTGTTCTCCATTAGGCAAAAAAAAATTGCAGCAGCATGTTACTACCTACAAAATTATAATTCTGTCTCAAATAACCCAAAATATTTCTGGATGAAACCCCGTAATCACATAATGGGTGATGCATTTATTTGAGTGATCAAGCTTTGGAAGTGAAATTAACCGGAGTGGATGTTCATTTCCAAAGTCAAAAGTATGTAAATGCGCAATTCGGCATTTGAGCGAACAGGAACAATAGGACGTGGGTGGAATGGGACGAGCTCCTCGCTACGAATCAATGAGGAATGAGAAGACCGTATGAGTGATATATTTTGTCCCATTTGCGGCATAGCCGCTATCGCTTGTAGAGATTTGATTAGTGTAGGCTACTGCCTGCTTTCATTTATAGTGGAGTACCAGTCTATTGTATGCTCCCTACTACTCCCTCTCTTATCATTTCGGATGCCCATATCGCAATGCAAGATTAACTTCATGGATGCGGCCCCAGCCTGTCCTTTTAAGAGTCAAATTTAACTCGGTTCCAAAGATCCATTGCCAAAATCCACAGAGCATTTGGTGCATTGCATGCAGAGGAGATACAAGCTTCGGTGGCAGAATGCGACACTCAGACAGAAATAGATTACACCATTGGATTGTGGAGATGATTCAACAGACACTGAAGCATCACGTTGAGGTAGACGCCGAGGACAAAGAAGGAAAGAAGACGTGGAACAGTCTGTTATTAAGAATAATGGTGGAATACGTGTTCTGACTCCTTGAAGTAGGCTAATTCAAGATGAGGGTGTGAAAAAGGGCCACATATCGCCTAATTTCATTCGCATCGTGGGTGCTGAAGCAGCGCTATCACATGTGAATAAACTGGGAAAAGGAAGACAAAGTCGTACTGAAGAGAGTGGTGGTGCTCCACCCAAACGTCATATACTAGGTGAAAACCATAAACCTTGAAAGGCTACCCATTCAATAGGCTATAACACCTGACCATGTACTTTTAACTGTTGGTTAACTGGCTGGCTTTTGATGGGAAATAATTTTTTTGTTGCAACGCTCGTTAGGTGAATGGACACATTAACAGTTACCCTCCTACTTGCTTCACACTTTTAAGGTACCGCTTTATTACCCTATAAGTTGATTTTACGTGGGTGCTTGTGTGAAGTGGACCGCCGTTGCTATTGGGATGTTACAAAGATAAAAGCCGTCAGACTTCTTCCCCATTTCTCTAGTGGTACCGCTCCATGTGATGATAATCTCATTTTCCGGGCAATGGCACTTGACAATTACTTGATCACGCACGAAATGTCATGGAGAGATCTAGGTAACAAAAGGAAGAAATGGAGCAGAAATAAAATTTATATTTAAGGCTTCTTGAGGCAAAATGCTTCTTTAATGGCACGGGTTTTAGTTGCTACGGTTCATTTCAACAGTTAGTCTCAACTTCACCTTTGGCCGTTAAAGAACCGCTTGATCCTACTTGATTGATTTAAACATGTCTAATTATTTGCTGTATTCAGCAGCTGGAAGAGGAATTTAAAATTCACCTAAAAGAGGAGGTGGGAGTGTTTATGCATGGAAGAACTAAAAATGAGATCACTTGACCTTCAGCCTTCATTTTGGGTCCCATTTTCCCTTAAAGGCTCGGAGAGAGGAGCGTGCTTCACAGCTTGTGACTTATGTGGAATTTTAGAGCCGTTTTTTACCTTCTTGCTTGAAGGAAGTATTTAATGGTGTCAACTGTATGATGTCTCAAAAGAGTCTCCTCAGTGAAGAAAACTTCTAAAGCGGTTTTTACGTTTCGACGCCCTGACGTAGGTGAGGGGATTGGATGATTGGCATTTCCCATCAAGCCTCTTGATTGGTGTCCCCTAGATTAAATGTTCCCTTAAAAATAAAAATTCGCAGCCTTGTTTAACTTTTCGAGATCGCAAAAGATAAAGGGAGCACACGTATACTACTCAGGAATTGAAGAACTGGAAATTCCTCACATAGTGTAATGAGAGCCGGACAAATTACCACTGGGCAGCAATTGGAAGTGGCCACTTCCCTTGAGGTATGATTACAGCAAATACAAATACTACTAACTTTCCTAAAAAAACTGTTTTTTGTTCATTTCTTCGGACCCAATAAAAACTTTCAAGCAATGCACTTCTGGTGGAAAAACTTTCCATTTTATTCCTTTGGAGTCTGGAAAAAAGCGTCTTTGTGTATTTTCAAGGTAAGTGGTGGCCATAACTACATTTGTCTGACATGCAATCTGGCCATGCATTAAATCATATGTGCTACCAAGGAAGGATTGCTTTTGATTAGCTGGATCTTCAGGACAGAAGACAGGGTTACATTAAGGACTGGAAGAAGACAGAACTCACGGGGAGACCCGCAGTCTAAAGCTACAACCGTAAAAGATGGAAATACAGGGGTCAGTGGTGATTTGCGACATCTCTGAGGCAATCCAACCACTGCCAAGGGAAGGTTATGGTCGCCAGAGATCTTAATCACTCTTAAAGTCTGTTAACATTCGACTCATTTCAGTGGACACCTGGGGAGTGAAGCTTCATGTGGTAAACTAACCAAAACAGACCGGTTATTAGTGATGATTAACGTGTTTTTTTAATTTCACATGAAGCAAAAAAGGAAAGGAAGGATTATCTTTCGAAGGCAGAAGCGTCCACCCTTTACTTCTTAATTTGGTGCAACTAGTTGTCATAAGCTGGTAAACAACATGCGTCACATATACGTGACGCAAGTGGCAAGCATGTTTAGAAACTTCCTACTCTGCCTTAGTGCTGATGGCATCGTTAGTGTCTTAGTATTTTCTTACCAGTTAAATAGAGCTACTTCAAAGTAATCTATCAGACATTACGGGGTGCATTGCACCTCCATTCACTAAAAATAAACAACTTTAGCAATTTAGACTTCCTAACGTCTCGAGAAATTTTGGTCAACCTCAACAGTCTGATTAATCCCGAATTTCTTTGTCTGCTCACAGCGTCACAAATACGTGACGCATGGTCCCTAACACTTTACGCTAGTTGTTTAAGCCAAAGTCTAGCAACGGATGTCGGATACTACTAATGGAGGATGTACAAATACCCGCTTATTTGATTTTTAACTCCTAACTAGCGATAATTGGTGTGACTACTAAAACAATTAGAATCTGGTCGGTAACGGAAATGTTTCTGGGTCACCAGCTCTCGGACAGGCATCAGTCATCATAGAGCAGCGATTGGATTCCACATGGAAGGCAGCATTATTTGTAGCTTTGAAAAGCCAAAAATGTGCCAAAAGGGGAAGTATTTTGGAAGCGGATAACCTTCACCTGCACACTAATTCACACTTTTACACATACATACCCTCTAAAAGCTATCCAAAAAAAGAAATTTAAAGAGCAATGGAGCTTATGGTTTATACCTTGAATCCGCGGCATTTAGGTTGACACAATGAAGTGTCTAAATTTCTGCTACTCTACGTGAAAAGGGAAAAAATGGAAGAAAATTTCCTGAAGAGGGTAATCGAAATACCAACCCATTCACAAGGATTTGTTAGCTTTTAAAATGCCAATAAGATAGAAAAGTTTGAGACTTCACTACATATTTATATCCTGCTGGGAAGCAAAGGAGAGTTGATTCCGTCCATAAGTCCTATTTTTAGGTAAAAGTGGTTTCGAATGTATAAGTTTCAACTTGATTTTGTGTTTTCAATTTGAAGGTTTATGCATTATGTCATCTACTTAGGCCATTTTTTACACAATCTCCTTCTCTGATCCATTCATTCGCCTTTTCAACCATTGAGTAAAAACGTGCTACTTACTGATTATTAAAAGTAGCATCTACCTGCGGAACAAACTACAATATTTATTTATTGCTGTCTTATCTCCTCGCTTTAACCCTTCTGCCTCTTCCTCTACTTCTTCCAGGTTGTCCCCTGGGCACCTACAAGGCGCTGTCAGGGCCGGGATTTTGTCGACCCTGCCCCCCGAATTCCATTTCAGAGGCCTCCATAGGAAGCAAAAGGTGTGTCTGCAGTAATCCCCTCTTCGTCTGGCATGTCCTCCCAGAAGGCGGAAGTGGTGTCTGCTCGCGTGAGTTTAACCCTTCAATTGATTATCCAAATCCATGTTGGTTATTGACAGTTGTTCACCGAAGCCTGCCAAAATCAACCACTTATTGATTTTATCGACTTTATTTTCCGATCTCGTGAATATTTTAATTATTAAATAGAAAAGTTATATATTTTTAAGCAATTAGTAATAAGATGGACTTAAGAAGTCTACATATTTCTTTCAAAATTTTGTTTTAGTTACCTTTTTTAATTTAAGGGGAAAAAATTAGAGTCGTAAAACTTGTAAAGAAAATTACATAAAATGAACTTTAAACTGGTTTAACTAGAAAAAAATTAGACTGTATTCTGTTTAGCGTGCTAGAAGGTGGGCAAATTTACCCAATATGAATTATGCAGGTGATTTTAATGATGAAAAATCCAAAATCTCCGGTTATTTATTTTATCGCCCTGATAAACTCACGAAGATATTATAAAACAAAGTGTTCTGCCAATAGCCTAATTTTATCTGTCTAAAAGGCGACTAGGGGTCTAGTAGCATTATAGTAAAGTAGAAAAAGCTACAAACGTGCAGGCTACAATGTCTTGCATCGTGTTTTGAGTTACGTTGTTGGTGCTGTCCGGCAGGGGAGCTCTGACGAGCCGAAAATGCATTCAAGCAACACCGAGAAGCATATAGTGGGTCGTCAAAATAGAACTTCAAGCCACGGCTCGGGACAGGCGCAGGGAAATGCATACTTGGCTACCGATGCGGCGTCCTTTTGCGTGCTCTCTACTCTTTCCCTTCTTGCCGTTTCGACTTAAACTCATAAATGGAATTCCGAACTGTGTGTTTCATGAGGCTAATTAAAATTGGTTCCTAGGCTTCAGAAACTAACTTCTTGAAGCATTCAGTGCATGACATTTGAAAAATATACAACATCCGATGAGAAAACCTATTGTCCAGAGGGAAATAATTTACACCATCTATTTTGGGGAACAGTGGTGATTTGTGTGTCTTGACTGATTGTAGAAGGAGCACCCGCAACGCGATTGGTGTAGCAGCACATTTTGACAAAGATCAGTAGGGAGTGGGGAAAGGCGAAGTCGTGCCATTTAGACTACACTTCTTCTCCCTAGGCTATAAGACGGATGGTGTACTCTAAATAGTTATTTGGCTAACTTGTGGTGGGAAGTGACCTTTTTTGTTTCAACCTTTGTTAAGCGAATTAACATATCATTGGCCACCATCAAACAATACTCTTACTCCCCATTGCGCTCTTTTAAGATAAGGACCAATTAACCTTTTCTTCCCGGGCGACTGTGCTCCCTTTGGATGCAGTGCTCTGCAGACACAAACTGCTTCTAAATACAAATGAGATCTTCTTGTCCAAACTTTGACTGGAAGAACTTTTAGTGTTAGCAAATTGGTGTTGAGGAAGGTTAAATTCCTATCAGGCAATGCACAATCTCATGCCCGAAGCAATGATACACCCCTGATAAGATCTTGCGTCACACTTTAGCATGAGTAAAACTACATGATTTCTCCCTTTTCTATTACTTTGCAGGGTATTTCTCCAAGTGATGTCTATCACATTTTCTTGACAGCGACATTAGGTGATTACATAATCATATGGGGAATGGACTTGACAGGTGGGAAAGGGAAGTGGAAGAAAAGTAAGGGCAACTTTTTCTTGGCCTCAAAAAAGTAAAAACACGGCATTTCCCTGTATCAGTCATAAAAATTGAACGAAGTGACACGATTATGTAAAATATTGTCCCATTTTGACGCATGCAATTGGTGCTTGAGGCAAGATAGAGTTGCCCTAATGCAGGGCCTTTCCATGTGTCAGTCTCACTTGACGTGCATAGAACACCCAAATACTGTTTCACGTAAAACTAATATTGTGAATTTTCCAGGGAAATTAGGAGTACATGTGCTTAAATGTGCTCTTTCTTGAAGAGGATTAACCAACCAATAGCCTGGCAGGCAAATCGACCTCGAATAGTTCAATTTGGAATTGTTCTACATAGAGTTGTTTTGCTTAAAAATTAGCAAGAGTGTGATTGTTTTTTTACTTGTTAAGTTATTTCGCTCGATTCGCTTTCTTGGAATTAATTAATTCGATGCTACCAGCCAACTCACATTCGTCACTTATATGTGACCCTTGGGTCGTGTGCATTAAGAACTACTTTAATGTTAATAATCATTGGAGGATTTTTAAGGCTAAGCAACTGACTTCTGCTTGTAGTTAATAAAAATCTAATAAAATGCTTTTTATTTTGTGCTTTCTTATCTTGTATGCATGGTTGAATGCACATTTGAGAGGCAAAACTGAAGTAAGTAGCAATCAGATGACAATCAAAAGGAAGCTGAAACGGCTCCCAGATCTTTAAAGAAATGCCAAATCGTCAACTTGTTAACAATAAGAGACTATGCTACCCCCCTACATTGCATGAAAGGATGAGAAGATTTACCTCCTCCCCCTCTTTCCGCCTTCCTACGGCCATAAAAACTAGATAAAACTTGGTGTTTTGGCTTATTCCTCTTTTGAGGAGACTCATTAAATAATCGTCACTTAGCTGTCAGAATTTGGCTTTTAGAGAAGGTGTTAAACGGCTTCCTTTGTGATAGCAACTCCAGCAACAGTTAATCAGTGTAGAGAATACCGACGTGGCCAACTGCCGAATTGACCAGGCCTTAGGAACAAGCAAAAGTGCCCTATTAATGTAACCATAAGTAAATAATTAAAATCTCCCACAAATTTTGCGCATTTCCTCAAACACTAATATTTTTTTGAATGAAAGCACTTATTTAGGCTGGAAGGGTTCATGTTCACATGCTTCTGCCCATGGCAGCTATTGTATGGGTAGAAAAATTTGCCTCCTCTAAATGGGATCTCTGTGTGTGTGGGTAGGCATGCAAACCTCGCATATTTCTCTATTTCCATATGATAGTACTTAGTGGTATTTTAGAAGGCCAAGCAAAAGTGGTCACATAAAAAAATTCACAAATGACTGCTTACTTACGGTGGTGACCTATCAGCTTCCCCATTACTAACAAAACACATAATGCTTCAGCAAGGACTTGATTTTTAGCATTTAAGATGATAGCCAGTCGTTGCATTTATCTGGTACTAAAAGTAAACCACCTTATTAATAATAAAATACAAGAATTTTGGCAATAAACAGGGACATAGGACCATAGAAGGCAACTTTATTATCGGATACACGTTTGAAGACGAGTCACGAAGTCGTTTATATCTTTTATGAGTTATAAGTCTTAAGGGAAATTAATTTGGCAGAAGTGAAGTTTTAGTTATCTAGCAGCTACAAATTCCCCGAGCTATTCGAACTCCCTTTTCCTTAATTAGGCTATTTATGACCCTGTGAAGTAAAGTTGCCTTGGTGAGGCATCTGCTGCGGGTCCGTCAGTTTGTTGGCAAACCCGCTCACTGCATGTGTATTGTATTCGGTTGGAGCTCAAACTACCACGGCTACCAGAAGTGAGCCTTTGGTAGTAGATTGCCCCATCGTTAGTGTTGAGCAGGTGTTTTGAGCAGGAAAGTTGTTTATCCCTGTTTGCACTCCTCTACACATCTTGCATTAGAGATTGTCTCATATTTCTGCTTTTTTTGCTGTTGATACCAACAGCAGAAACTCAGATAGAGGTGGTCCTATCCACAGCAAGAACCTCAAGGTAATGACACAAATCGAAGGTGGAGGATGAACTTGCATCCTCCTTGTAGAATATGGGGCCACCATAGAAAGGAATCATAACAACTTTAAGTAATAATGCCGGACGACTACTTCGATACGACTAAAATATATTAATCAGTTAGAGAGCGAATTCATATTTACTTCTATGGTTAAATTTAAAACGAGTTTAGGCGACTTCAAAAATTTTCTTTGTCCTTTTCTCCTCTCTTTAATCTCTCCATTAGCCTGAGGGATGGATGATATAAAACATTTCGGGTATGGAGCAGTACACCAAATGGACTCGTAGTTCATTTCTCACTCGCAAACCTTCAATGTTCATTCGAAAAGGGTCAGACCAGAGGAACTTACAGACGCAAAGCTTCTTATCTTAGCAGAATTTGGCCACCCAGCGTCGGTCTTGGTGGCAGAATGCGATAAGGCACTTCCGTTTAAATAGCGCCTCTCTTTGTATTTGACCATAAAAAACCGCTTTTCAAAATAAGAAACTGTGGAAAATTTCAAAATATATGAAATATTTTGGTTATTTATCAAATACCCCCTAGATATATGTGGCGGCATTTCTAAATCCTCGTTTCGACTAGAGTTTATAAACTACTTTTTTTTAAAAAACTAGTAGGAACATTAAAAAATTCGGCCGATGGTAAAAACGAGATTGAGCGATAGATGGGTAGATAAAGAGAAAAAAAGCTGAACCATAAAAAATTCCTGTCTGATCACTACTGAACCAAGAGTTATCTCTGTGGAGCGAAAGGATCGTCAAACGAGC